TGATCTGTATATGCCACTCAGCAACTGCTTGATGCGACCTACTGTGAAATGACACCGTATGGCGTCTGGGAGTTCAGCAAGTGATGGATCTGCTTCACGTAGGCATTTAAGCTGCTTGTGAAAGTATATGGCAACTTCCCTGTTCCTTGTTATCCCTGTCTCTTCTGACTAGAACCATAACACTTATACTGATTTCGTTGTCATTGATGGTGGGGGTTAGTCAGGCTTCAGTTAGAATTAGTATTTTAAGATGTAGGTATGACTGCATGTTTCTAGGTCCTCCTAATTTCCCCCCTCAGCCCTCTCACATTACTGCGCAGGTAGCTGACCGTGAGTCTAACCACCTCAGCGTGTTGCAGGGTAATTGATGCCACGTTGGCTGCTGGCAGAGGATTTATGATCGGAACTATTTGGACGAGTCTTAGGAACCAGTATGGGAGATGGATTTGATATCCCTGAGTTACTTCTTCCAACCGAATCCCTAGTTACTGCAGGATATGATGTCTTAGCGCTCTTTTTAAGTCTAATTTCAACCACCACATTAACAGTTGTTATGAAATATGTTTGTATATGAATAGAAGATGGCAACGGCATTTCCCCCGTAGAATAAGAACAAATAGATTGATGAAGTATAAGATGAGAAAAGTAAAAGGTTTTCCACTTTTCCTAGTACCTTTAAGCCACTCGGCTTCACAGAAATCGTCTGGCAGACCAACAAGATTCGTTTATTCGAACAAGTGAGGAAAATGTTGTTACAAATGAAGCCCGTGAAGCTTTGGCAGTAGTTCGGGATAAATGGATCTTACCAAAGAAATTCACCGTGGAATTGATAGTCGGATTGAATTCACCGGCTAGGAAGATCAGATTTTCCAGTGGGATAATTCACTAAATAGGTATTTTCTATTTAGATAGGAAAGGGCACGTCGTATTCAAGGAACGCGCATCATCAGGCCAAAAGTTGTACTTAAGCTTAAGATCAGGAATACACAAGTACGATTAACCAGCAAAAACATTGCCATGATCACAGAGCAGCACCATAGAATGCCGTTTGAAGCTCATCCGGGAAAACTGAATATTTTAAATAAATAAAATAAATAAATTTATTCTCATGAAACAGTACATGAGGGACGCCAGTTTACAGGCATCATCAAATTGTTACAGAAATAGGACCATATTATTCAGTCACAATTTACAGTCGATAGCAAAATATGTTTTACATGTACACTGGAGATTATATATACACTTGATAAATGTTAATCCCAATAGTATAAAACATCCTTTTCACTTATGTACAATCGTTTCTGTGCATAGTTGGAAAAATCCGCTAGATTGTCAGTGAGTGAAACACATCAGAATTACAGAAGTATTGTCTTCGCGTTAACAAAATAAACCAGGTCTTTGGTGGATGGGGTACAAGTGCCTGGGAAAAAAACTAAAGCTTGAAGTCAATTTTCGTACAACACTTTGTTGTATGCAGAGTCCTTGAGTTATAGTTCATTGATGTGTTATTTTGAAATCAGTGATTTGTTTACATCTCATTTGATCTGCAATGTCATTGCTGGGAGTAAAATACACAAGCTGTAGACGCATTAATTAATGGATTTCTACTGCTTGTGGGTATTTACTTCTCGTGGGGAAGGTTTTTGAGTTTTAGTTGTTACGACAGGAGTTGTGGATATTGACTGCTCAGCACTATGATAGTAATTTCTAGCGCCTTCTTTCCGGATATCAGGTTATATTTGGACTAATCCCTCTAATTGCCAACACTAACTAAAGGATGCTAGTATGTTCGTAGGGTTCTGGATAACTCACCTTGAAAGTGTGCTTTAGAACAGCTTAAGGATGCCAGTGTGTTACCCCGCTAATGCTCAGAATTGACCAGTTTCATAAAATAACAGAAACGTCAGAAGACTGATTGTTTGACGCTCCAACTAGCATATGCGCGTCAAACACCATGTTAAAGGTTGGTTTTAAGATCACCTACTACGTAAATTACCCTAATCAATGTCAACACTTAGATAAATATACAATCAAAGAGTTAATCAAGGCATTGCAGAGAGGAGAATAAGTTTTCAATAAAGAAGTGCCTTCGGCGATCTCATCCTCAAGAGACGTACAGTCGCATTTCTGTACGTTTGTTTGCATGGCTATAATTACCACTTAATTTAACGCGAGGGAAGATTAAATGTGTTAACAATTCTCAGCCTGGTGTAAATATTTGAAGGTGTGAATATGGATTACAAGGGACTTAGAAACAGAACTGCTCAGGATCAGAAAATAGCTGTGCAATATACGAAAGATTTTATTGAAGAAATGTGTGAACAGGATATGCACAGAAACAAGAAGAAATAATTTTGATAGCTGTCGGTGACAAAAATGAATGGAATGGAGAGAAACGAAAGCTCAGGAGTCAAAAAAGCTGGATCAATAGTAGTTGTAGAGATTGGACTAGTTTCCTGTTAGCACAGCTCTGGCTTCTGGATGCATATGGCCTCTGCAGAACAGAGAAGTCAGAAAACAGTGTCTGTGGTGAATTTTTGTTTACTTCACAGGTGACTGTAAGTGATGAGTTAGCTGAGATGCTATGAAAGGTGCTGATGGGCTGTCCATTTCTAACGTCTCTGACTGAACCAGTACCACCTCTTCTCTGGGTAGCGATCGCTAACACGTTTTAAAAGTACGTACTTAGGACGAATAATGTAACTAGCTCTACAACAGCAGGGCGAATTGATGTGTGCACACTATAGTGGTCATATGCGGGAGTTTATTCTTCACATTGCTCAGAAGTAGCGGACTGCCCACTGCTCCAAAAAACAACAGATAAATCTGAAGAACATTGTTTCGAATATAATATTTTTACGTCGTAAATATGGATATGAAATTCATTTAGTCCCTGCTGAAAACCCTTACCAACTTTACTTCAGCACCTCTCAATATTGACTTCCATTTCCACCAAGAATCTTCAAGAAGCTATTTCTGTTTAACTTCATCATAGATATGCTGATGGAAGTATCCTTAACTGAACGTAATGACTTAGGAATCGACTTCTTACCAGGGAATACTCTTGTAGGGGACTAATATTAGAGTTCACTAACATTACAAATATAAAAATAATAATCCAAGTCAATGTAGCGTTAAATCACAATATATTACCAAAAATGCAGTGACGAGTTATATCAACAAAAGGGATTACTTGGATATAAAGTCTAAGTCCTCCGCTACAAATTATTTATATAATCCACGGGTACGTTGATTGTTTGGACTGCGTCTGCTGTAGCTGCTGTGTTCCGGTTGTAGAAATGTCTTCGGTTGAGAGTAGCAGACTCCTACAATAAATCCGAAGTATGCAACACGGTGTGAGTTGAGCAAGCAAACAGAAATAACCAGGGAAAAGACGAAGTCTCCAACAGCAGAGTGTATTTTTCAATTGTACACGGAATTTATGTATATTTCAACAAGAAGGGTTTAAACAAAAATTATGTACAATATCTCGAATTTCTACATATAACCAAAAAGTGTACAGTCACATTGTTACGTACTCCACAGTCTGATGGACTTAGAATATGCAGATGACATAGTCCTGTTAGGGGAGGACACTGACAAAATGCAGAGTCTTCTGAACACCCTGTGCAGCAATCTTCGTGCGTTTGGCATGCGATTCGCCCCTACAAAATGTAAGATGCTGCTACAGGACTGGACCACGTCAACTCCTAGCTTAGTGATAGGGAATGAAGTGATAGAACATGTTGACCACTTCACCTATTTGGGAAGTTGTATCAGCACCAACTGACTGATTGGCGACGAAATATCAGCATGGATCAAAAAAGCTCGAGCTGCTTTCTCTGACCTACACCATCTCTGGCGTAGGGGTGACATCCGGCTGTTAACCAAGGGACGTGTGTACTGCTCAGAAGTTCGCTCCGTCCTTCTCTATGGCTCTGAAACATGGCTAATACGAGTTGAAGACCTGAAAAGGTTGACTGCTTTCGATCATAGATGTCTGAGATCTCTTTCTCACGTTAGGTGGTTTAATGAAGTAAGCAATGTTGACGTTAGGCGTAGAGTGTTGGGCGAAGAGGGAAAAGCAATCGATGAGGCTATAAAGTTACATAGATTGAGATGGCTAGGTCACGTGCTGCGCATGCCTAACCATCGCCTCCCCCGACTGGCATTGCTAGCTGATATAGGTGCAGGCTGGAAAATAGTAAGGGTTGGCCAAACAAAAACATGGCATCAATCCATGAAATCCTTGACAGTTAAACTGAGTCAAGTAGGGAGATGCAGACTTCCGGGTTGGGGCCCTCGGGACTCTATGAATCAATGGCTGGAGACAATAGGTGACATAGCTCAAAATCGTTGTCAATGGCCAGCGCAGATGTATTCAGTCTCTGTAGTATTTCATATTTCTTTCTACCATTACCAATTCTGTTTCACTCTTATACTTGTCAAACTCTATTGATTCTCTTCACTCATCTTCTTGTCTACCTTTGTGTGTTATTTGGAACGTGGCAACTGGAACTGCTGCACTTGGGTGCCGAGTTCTATCTTGAATCTAGACAGACAGGCAGACAGACAGATAGGGAGGGTGACTTTCAAAATTTCTTCCCTCTTCGTCACATGCATCACCATGAAAGGTGATACCTGCTCTAGGTAACTTGAGTATTCCACTTGAAGTACTTCATGAATGAAAATGAGAATCTGGCCCTGCTCACAGACAGAACGTTCCATAGCTCAAGAGAACTAAAACCCAAATAACGGAAATTTAAGTTTCCACATTATGAAAGTCGAACGATACGCAGATTACTTGTGTTCATATAGGTCAAGTGATGTGCAATATTAATGAACGAATTAAAAAAGTATATCTCATAATCGCATAAAGTGCATATGGAATATCCTGTGTCTTCATAACGCACTTTGCACGACTAAGTTGTTTTATCCCATAACGTTTGTGTTGATATCTTAACCTTCAAGGATAACCCAGTTTTCAATCTCAACCTGGGATGTACGGAAATCCGTGTAATGTGAACCCGCAGGTCGCTAATTTCTTCCATCAGTAAGCGTGTTCTACAGCTTTTAAAATGGGATTTTTTATATTAGAGTTGACGCAAATAGAAGTGGTTCCATATCTGCAGATGAACTTCAGCGAGCGTTAAATAATGGTGAGTTAACTTGTGTGAATTGTATTAATATGCCCTGAAGTTGTGTCTACAGTTATTAGCTAAATTTAAAGACATTGGCTTCATCGGCCTTTCATTTTGCTTGGGAATTTATTTTGGTATCAGATAAAATTCACATGGTCGCGTATACCCGACAGAAATATTGAATTAATTAGGTAAAACAAGCTTTTTAGACTCAACATAGTTTTTCTGCCCCGAGGACTTATTAGGAGGGGGGGCGACGAAGATTAATCAACCTATGATATGTTTCATAAGAGTACAGAATTGCAATGTTTTGTAGTAACAGGAAATGCAAACCTAAGGTGTGATCCAGCTTATGTAGTTTCATTGTGCATTTTGAAAGGACAGAAATGTCCGCGTTGCACAAATAGCATTATCGTAACTATATATAATTATAACTGTAGTCTGCACAGAATAGGAAATACGAGAGTATCTACAAGGTATAGTGTTAGTAGCATGCATTGCTCAAAGACACATCATTGTAGTCCATTAATCTAGTCACTATATATGCCTCACAGAGATTTTATGGTGCATCTCTTGTTGCTAATAAATTAGCCAACTTGTATGAGAGAAAGGAAAAGGAAGGGCAGTTGTAGAACTTTGTACAAATAAGGGTCTGTTTAAGTTCCTAAAGATTACTAGAAGTAAATATTATATTACTGCATTGAAGATAAACGGTATAAAAGGGAGATGGAAATCGATTACAAGTTTCCGTAGCAGTGGTTTTTTTTACGGGATAGGATTGATAGCTTCACGCCCAACCATCCGTCTTTAGCAGTCTTACTACTGGTCTACCAAGGTAAAGGGGAGTGAGTCAGCCGGGGATCGGATATCGAACCATATGCGTGGTCGGCGAGCATTCTATCGTTGTGCCACTGATGTACTATTTTGAGAGTATGACCGATGATTCCTGACAACAGCAACGTAGCCGCACGTAGGTTAAAATAGCTTACTCCTATCAGCTATTCAGTGAGAAGACGTACCTTTAACATCATTCAGACTCATTGTTGCTCACTGTACTAATACATCATTTTATCTGTTTTGTTTTAAAGTAGGAATCTCACAGTTGTCGAAAAATGATTAGTGATTTAGTCTTTGACTCAGAATGTTGGTCAAATTCTATAAATGAATTGTTCGTTGTGATCGCTAAACTAGGCGACAGCATACTTTTGTGCATCGTAGTACACTTTTTTCTGATGACATTGTTCTTACAAGTACGAAATCTTAATCCAGAGCTTCCTGTCGGTGATCTCTTACCATCTAATATTTTATAGAAATTGCATTGTCTAAAATGACCTACAATACTCGCTTTTGTTCTAAACAATAAATAGGTCTGTGTACAGCATTCAATATAAGGACAGTTGAACTGATGATAGCCATGTTCGACAAGGATATGAATGGTACAATGAATTTACAAGAATTCGGTCAATTATTCGCCTATGTACAACAATGGCAAACATGTTTTCGTAGTTACGACAGAGATAACTCGGGTACTATTGATGTCAACGAATTGCAAACCGCTCTTACCTCGTTTGGCTATCGTCTATCTTCACAGTTTATCTCTCTCTTAGTTCGAAAATTTGATCGACATCGACGTGGATCAATATCATTTGATGATTTCATCTTGGCATGTGTTTGTTTAAAGGTAAGATGGTAAAGTTCATCGTCAATTTTGAATGAACCCTTACATTATTCTATGTTGAGCAAATTCTCTTAACAGCCACACTAGCTATTAATTATTCATAATTCACATATTTCGGTGGCTAGAATTAGTTGTTGAAGTTGAGACCAGGAGATGGCTAGGATTATTATTATTATTTATTATTGTTCCCTTGTGTTCCTAGTGGAACATAGGGCTTCAACTGCACGTCTCCACTTGCTTCTCTCTTCCTTCTGCTGTACTTTTCACCTGCATCCATGTTAGTCCATACTCTTTCAACTCCACTTCACACGATCTCCTCTGTCACCCTTGCACCGACGTCCAACTCGCCGCTTCCCTTTCGGCCTGGTTCCACTCGAGCAATGGTCTGACGCGCGTGCGATGTCACCAGCGTCCTCCTCAGCGAGTGTCCCATCCATCCCAATTCACTTTCTCCTGCATATTTGTTGGGCGATTGGTTCTTGTTTTGTTTGTTCCCAGCCATAGTTTCTTGTTGGTGATTCTTTCCGACCCGGCCATCTGATCTTCAATATAGAGCGAAAACATTATGGCTAAATTTTTGTTTTGATAAAGTCTCACAGTGTTATACAGTAATGTTTACTGATGACGTTTCGAGCACAATTTATTGCTCATAATCATATCAAGGTACTCACACGACGTATCGTGTGAACATTACTGTATAACACTGTGAGACTTTATCAAGACAAAAATTTACCCATAATGGAATTATACTCTACCACAGTGCACAAGTTTTATTCTTATATCAATAGAGCGAAGACAGTTGTTGATAAAAGTCTGCAACAGGCTGTTGGAAATATTTTTTATGACTCGCCAAGTTTATGGTCCGTATAGGAGAACTGACTTGACGTTTGTATTGAAGATCCGAATTTTGTTGTTGGTGCTGAGTGACGAAGATTTCCAGACTGGTTGATGAATGTGTCTCTCGCCTTCCCGATTCTCGCTCGATTTGACATCCTCGTCCGTTCCGACTTCCTGTATTTGAGACAATACTCCCTAGATGATAAGTGAATGAAGTAGCCTCTTTCATCAAATCCCTCCCGTTGATGGTGATTGGCGCTGGATGTTGCTGTTGGTTGGTTGGTTATTTTCATAACCTCCGTCTTGTCTATGTTCACCTGGACTCCTGTCTTTGCTGGTCCAATAGCTCAACGGATTTTTGGGTTTAGATTTATTGACTGTTTCACACTTGTCACTAAGGCATGTATCGATAGCCCCTTTTTTCGTTGAAAAAACAAGCCTGCTTCATGTTTATACACGTTTTCGTCTGTTTGTTTGTTTTTTCATTTTGCTCTACAGAATTTAACTGATGGCTTCAAAGTACACGATCACCAACGAAATGGGATGGCACAAATGAATTATGAGAGCTTTTTAACTGCTGCATTCAGTGTAGTCACTTAACAGCGCTGGTTAACACAAACTGTCTATGAAACTGTCAAACATTCATCATATGATCAACAAATTTTTTCGCAGTGTACTACTACTACTAATATTACTATTATAACTGGTTTGTAAAATCAGTTTTACTCTGTTTGTGTAAACTTGTATACATCGTATATTCCTACTTTTTGTCACTTTTGATATATTTATGCACATTTTGTTTGAACTGTCATCTTTTCTGAACTAAAAACAAGACGAAGAAAATGACAAATACACTTACTTAAAAAATGTATCTGACTGCTTGATATTTGTTCTTCTCTTTTTTTTTAATAATCGTTTTCTTGTGCGTGTGTGTGTTTGTGTGCCAATGGCCGATATTAACACTGCTTGTGTAGGACTGGTGTTTTCCACGCCTGAGTAAACTCAACTTCCAAGATGCCAAAAGGTGTGTTCGGGCTTTTCAATGCTTTTGTTTTTGGTTTCATATTAAGTTTAGTGGTTATTACGTCACACTAGACCATGCTCATCAACGGGATACCATGACGTTCTGTCACGCTAAGTGTAAAATTTACAGCGTAGAACAGGAGCTTGTACAGCGCTGCGGGGGTGGGAGGGTGTTAACCGGTATCCAGGATACCGGTGTATGCAAAAAGAAGCCTAGGTGAGGTGGCAAAGCAGCACTGGTGGGTTCTGATTCTAGAGTTAGTTGTTTTGAGATTCAATGGATTCATGTTGTTGTGCACTTATAGGCAGCCAAGCTAGATATGATGGGAGGAGTTATTGTTATAAAGCTGCTATACTGTTGTGCTTCCGTGGGAAGCGTTATCCAAATTCTTTTGTATTATGGTCGCGTTTATAGAAACAGAAGAGAAAGGAGACGTCTTTCATGCAACGAAAATTGGGTCTGTGGATATACAATAGTGTCTTTGCTATACAAAACCATTTCCATCTTATTAGTTATGCCTGCTAACTTGAGTGAGAACTGATACCTATAGAAACGACCTGTTTCTAAATTGGTATTTAAGTAGTGTGTCAGTATTTTAGTGGATTATGGTGTAACATTTTATGGTTTTTAAAAGAATAACTCCAAAGCGTTTACACAACGAGCTCCTTTCCAATCAAGTTGATATATCCACAGGCACTGACTTGAATTATTTTATCACCAACCGGTGTACTGTATTGCTTTGAAGTAGAGTTATAGCTCATTGCTATAGGTGCTTGACTTTCAACCTTGGGCCACGGATTTGAATCCCTACTCCACCTATCGAGGTTAAGGCAGCCAGGTATTATCACTAGACCTCACAGAACAGGTGAAACTTATTGCCAACTGCAAGGAAGAAGAAGCGCTTGTCAAGTAAGACATTCAATGCAATTAAACTCCGGTTTAGTGTATGCACACTACTAGACTTATACTAATATCAGCAATTCAAAGTGTACCGTGATGGTGAGCCGTCTAGGACAACTGCCACATTGCAAACTGAACTGATAGAAAGAAGCAAGTCTGCATCAACACGAAGGACTAGACACATTACACTAGTTACTGACTAGTGTCCAATCAAAAATATTCAATGCAGTCCTACAGGAGGTCAGTCGTGGGCTCGAATAGCTCAGTGATGATGTCTCTGACTGCAGCACTGGATGATATGGGTTTGAATTTCAGGAGGCACATCAAGGGGCTTGCAGATACGCCTTGCTATCTACTGCCTTCAGCCGTGTAATGTTTACTATGTCTATCTTCAATTGATCGCATAATTCAAAGCTTGAGTATAGTTATTGGAATGTGGTGTGTGGCTTGGTCAGTTAACAAGGTCTTCAGTATCACTACTAATCTGTTATCCATATCAATAGTCCGTTTCCTTTAGGATATTGGGACGGATTGTGTATCACTCAGTTAGGAGTGATGGTGACTGGTAACAAAAGCTAAATCCCTTCGTTATCACCGTATCACCAGGTTACTAAGTGTCAATAACTAGGCATTTATGAAAACTCCATTCTCATGCCATGGTATGTTCGAATTCTGTATTGAAACACAAACACTGGAAAGTGGTTGTGACTTTGAGAGGAAACTATTATCGTCATCCATCTTTCAATTAGGATTACTACACATATTGGATGAACCAATCGGATGATTAGGTGTTGTAAATCTAGGCCTGCCTGCAGAATTGAAACTTCTATAGTTTCTTGTGAACCAAAGTCCACTATGGTGTTCGATAAGAATTAGGTTGAAGTGATTGCTAAAGATAAACTGAGCTATGACGTTAGTTGAAAAGTTTGTTGGTATGAACTATTCAGGATAATTTCGACACTCTGGCTGGTGTAGCTGACAGAAAATGTAGTTGGACAGTTTTTTTATTTCTTGCCTTCCGATTAGAATGCAACGATTCAGACTTTGAAGTCTCAGGCATTGTTCTATTTTCACAGGGTGGGGTTATGATATGGCGGCCGATGTCCAGTCTGGAAATAAACCAATCAAAATTTGGCCTACGTCGAAGAACGCCCGGCATTTTATTGATTACGATTACATACCAATTGAAATATCCTTGAATCATGCTTTATTGTGTGAAGTATACCTTGGGATTCACGTCGTTGTGTATTCTCGTTTAAGCAGTTCAGGCTGTGTGTGGGGGGGAAACATGTAGCTTTTGAATAATGTTGTTGGGGTAGTCTAGCTATCGTTGTCACCCAAGTCTGTGTGAAATTCGGCATGCCTATTTTAATTTTAGTTTCAATGTATTGCGAAACATAACAGGTTATTGGCCTTACGCCTGACCTTCTCTCTCGATCTGGCTTATTATCGGTTAAATGAGTTTTTAGGAGTGCATCAACCAGGAATCGAACCTCAGACCATGTACAGTGTGACCTTGAGGATATTCTCTCAGTAAACCACCTACTCACTTACTATGCATTATGTACCAGTTATCCAGAGATGTAGAAACAATCTGAATGATTTCAGTATAACTTAATTCACTTGTATAAGGTATCACTGAAAACGGCGCAGCTGTGAAAATGTTTCGGCTATTTTCTGTTTTTCTACATTCATGAGATATCTTCATAGAATTACTTATTGAATAGCTCACTAGCCAGAATCTATCCTGCAGCTAAACTGGGTGCCGTTTATTAAACAACATGCTGTTTGGCTCAGTCAAAGGTCGATAGATGCCTTTCTTATATCACTTCTAGTTGTTGCGAAGGTGACATGGAGGAGATTAGAGATTATGGGCAATCGGGAGGGGGGCCGCCAGCTAAACAGGACAGCAGAAAATAGAGGGAAGTGGATATGTGTTATTGAAGCCCTATGTTCCACTTGGAGCCTAAGGGAATAATAATAACAATAAGGATTCCAATAATACATCAAGATCTAGGGAAGCTACTACTTATGCAAGACCAGAAGATATGAACAGTTCAAGCGCAGAAATTTTCAATCCAGTTTCTCCTCTCTCTCTCAGAGGTGGAAGAAGAATTTTCTCCAGTTTCCACTCGGTGCCATGTTGCTAAAAAATGCTTCTGAAGATATTTTGAACTAAGATGGTGAAATACCTTGTGTTGATCGCTTCAAATCAAAGAATTTTAAAGAATTATGTAATATTCAAGTGTTGGTTTGTAGGGATTTGATTGGTTAGAGGATTTCATCATAAGCTGACATCAGTTAGAGAACCATTGGAAAACCAGCTGGAGTACTGGACAGCTGCTGTTTCCTCCTAGTTTGGGACTCATCGGTACGCACCCACCGGGATTCGAATCCAGGACCTTCTGGTTACAAGGCGAGCTCGTATACCATTAAGCCACTGGGACCCAATCCAATGGCCCATGAATTCTAACTTATTTAATAATCCAGTCGTCATGATTTGGGTCTCTTAAGCACTGATTGAAGTGATAAACTATTCCTTTGGGAAATATCTCCAACGTGACATTGATTCTGACGAAATGATACAAATTTCTCGTGAAATTTCCGGGGAACATACATCCGTATTCGATATCCGCTATAAATGTTTAATTCTGTCCACAGAATAATCTGATGACTTCCTTACTTTTGCTGGTGAAATCAACCGTGCACGGAGCAATCATTCCACACTTTTTCGAGGGGGAGGTATCATAAATGGAGAGTACCCACGCCCCTAACATATATCTTCCAGTGGTACCCCAATTAAAAATCTATTAAAGAGAGGTGAGAGCTGTTAGGATGGACAACATCGTTGTTAGCTATAAAGTAATGATTGATGATGATACGTGGACTGATATGATAACCTGATTGGTGGCGGAGGGGGGGTTGGAGTTCAATTGGCCATAGTGTCATGTCTGGTGGCGACAACCATAAGTAAAATAAATTCCGAAAAAATCGGATCACAACACTGCATAACTGTGAAATCCAAACCGTGTGGCAATTATTGATTTTCATAACTTAACGAATCAAACTTGTCAGGAATGATATCCATCCACGCTTCGCACAATTTTTGTCAGTTTATTGATTCAAGATACCATTTATGTAATGTTTTAAAACAAAACAAAAAGTGTGTTTCGGTTTCTAGCACTGTTTGTCAATTTGTGCATAGTTTAGTCCTGTCAGCTTTTCTAACCTGATGACTAAGACTGTTTGAACGGCAGTCTTGGCGATTTGAAACCGGTAAAAATGGATGGCATAAGGCTGTTAGACTTAGAATTGCATTTGTCACATTTGTTTCTCTTGGACCGTCTTGTGGAGTTAAATAATTCCCCAAAATTAATGACCACAGCAATCATCATTCAACATTGGATGCTGACCCTCACTGTTTAAGTCGACTTGTTTAGCTGAAGGCTTCCAGTCAAGCATCCATGCCATTTGGTACTCCGTCGTGTCACGTTCGTGCACTATCACTAGCCAGCTAAGCGTTCGTCTCACAGTCTGTTTTGGTCCCGAAATATATCTCGTAATTTGGACAACCAGTCCTGTTGTTTTGCTTCGCCTTTGGTCCACGAGAAACAAATACTATAGAAGTTGTTGGAATAAGATCTTGCGTTAGTATACTCCGTACAATTCGCGAAAG